CAATATCTTAATGTGGACGTTCTGCTATTATTGTCATTTATTATTTGTTTTAAGATAGGTTTATGTTTTCAAAAAACAAAGTCATCATTCCACACATTTGACTAAGTAATAAAACTAATAACCTCATGATGTAGAAAATCAGTGTAAATGCCAGATTTCATCCAGAAAATAACTTTTTTGGTCAAATAATGTGGCCAATTATTTCTAGTTTCAAAGCAGGTTAGTGCTTATTTTCTTTGTAATTAGTAAATGGATCTCATTTCACGTCCGTTTGTTTAATGATTCAGTGGTATAGGAATGCAATTGTGCTCTTACTTCTCAGTGAGGAGGCGAAGCAATGTGCATAATTCCCATGCGAATTCAACTGCTACACTCTCCTGCCTGATGCCATGCTTGGCACATAGTAGTCACTCAATAACAGTTTGTGGCTGGATTCACTTGTACATCATAGCAATCCCAAACTTGATATCCAGCTGTGATAAAAATATGGTTAAGGGCCAGGGACATAACTGAGTGGCACAGTGCCTGCCTGGCAAGTACAAGGTTCTGAGTTTGACTCTGGTACAAAAATAAATAAACAGCCCAGGCCCGGTGAGTGTGTGGGAGAGCTTCTGGCTACCCTGCGCCAGTCCCAGCCCAAGTGCAGAGTCGGTGAGACCCTCTTCTAGCCCTTTGGGACGCCCCCCACCACTCCGCAGCCCCTCCCCCACCCCACCTGCTGAGTAGGAATTTCTGCTGCGTCCCGGAACCCCCAGATCCGCGTTCCAGGAACCCCAGATCCAGTCCCAGCCCAGGCCCGAAAGATAAACTTGAGACTTTTACAGGTAAATGAATGGAACTGGAGACAATACTCATAAGTGAAATAAATCAGACTCACATGTGTAAACATCATATTGTTTCATTAGTGTGAGGAACTGAAAGAATAAATAAGATCCAAGATGTACAACAGATACTGTGAATGTGGAAGAAACTGTTCAAAAGTAAACAAAAACTGTGGCAGGAAAAAGGAGAAAGGAGAGAAATATATATACACATAAGATAGTTAAGATAGTTATACAGCTAGTTTGTAGTC